CGCCGCTCGCGTGGCTGGGACGAGGGCGCGCTCGTGGTGCCCGCGGGCTCCCTCGTCTTCACGGACGGCTCCTGCGTCAACAACGACTTCCCGATGGTCAGGAGCGCCGGCTGGGCAGTGGTGGTTCTCGCGCCCGACGGCGAGTGGTTGGCGCAGGCGTGGGGGGCAGTGCCGCCTGCCCTTTTGCCCAGCCAGACGGCGAGGGCAGGCGAGGACTACGCGGCGGTGGTCGCCCTCACGGACATCGTCGGCCACTACCACCTCATGATCGACTGCCTCGGCACGGCCGGGGCTTGCAAGGACGTGAAGAGGGCGGCGGCCCCGACGGCCCAGTTTGCCCACTTCTGGGCGAGAGTCGGCGACGCCGCCGAGGGGGTGCACGTGAAGCACATCCCCGCCCACCGTTCTCGGGCGGCAGTCGAGCAGGGCGTACTCTCGGAGGTGGAGCTCTACGGCAACCGCCTCGCGGACCAGCTCGCGAAGGCGGGCGCGGCGCTGCGCGCCACCGCCGACGAGGAGGCCCTCCTGCTCCAGGGCTGCCTGGCCCGCGCCCGTGACGCGGCGCGGTACGCCGCCGAGTTCGAGGTCCAGGCTACGGAGTCGGGCTTGCGGGACTCCTGGCCCATCAGCTCGCTGGAGCTCGTCGACCTCACCCCCTACATGGCGGCGGAGCTCGACGGCGAGACCGACCTCCTGCACGCCGCCGCGGCGGAGCCCGCCCCTGGGACAGGTGGATTCAGCCCGCCGACGTCGCAGTCCCAGGGGCGCGGAGAGCTCGAGGTGATGCGCGACGCGGAGGTGCGCGGGGCTGCCGCTTCAGCGACTGGCTTCTTGAAGGAGCCCGACGCCGAGCCTGGCGATGACGTCGGCGTTGCGCAGCCCTCGGCGGCTGACGGCGGCCCCCGCCTCGCCACGGCGGCGGCCCTGGCAGCGGTGGCGGCAGCTGGCGCCTCCAGCTCGCGGCCTTCGCCCGCGAGGCGCCGCCCCGCCTCGGCCGAGTCGCCCGCGGAGGTGCTGCGCCGTGTAGCCCAGCGCAGGGCGCAGGAGCATCCGAGGCGCCGCGAGGCCTCGGCGCCCGCGCCCAGCCCGCGCCTGGCGGCGGCGGAGGCGACGAGCAGCGGCCCAGCCCCTGCGGAGGCGGCAGATGCGACCCGTCCAGCGGGATGGAGGGTCAACGGCCACCTCCTCATGGAGTCGCGCGTCGAGGGCGACGTTTCCGAGCCCTTCCTGGTCTGCGCGGCCTGCTGGATGTACTGCCGCCTCCCCAGGTACGCGCACCGCGGCCTGGGCAAGCCGTGTGGGGCCAGCGCGGCGGCGGGGCAGCCCAAAAGCAAGAAGGGATCCAGAGCCCAGGCGCGGTCGGACTTCGCACGTGGGATCCTGCCAGCGTCGAAGGAGCCGATCGCGCCGCTGGCCTCGCCAACGGCAAGCACGCGCCTGCGCTGGGCGGCGGCGCTCCAGGCCAGGCAGGGCCACGGCTCGGAGGTGCAGGCGACCGAGGCGGCGCCCGTGCCAGCGCTGCGGCAGCCTGCTGCAGCCCCGCCCACGCCGCCTGCGGCTGGCGCTGGTAGCCTGTTGGCTGCGCCGCCGAGCGCCACGGCGCCGCGGCGCCTGGCAGCGGCGGCCCCGCGGGCGGAGGCAGCCGAGCCGCGGCGGATCCGCCCAGGGCTCGAGGGCGTCCTCCGAGCCCACGGCTTCGCGGACGCTGCGGCGGCCCGCGAGCGCGGGCGAGCCGCGAGGGCGGCGGCCGTCCCGCCTGCTTGAATTTGTTTGCATGAAACCGTGGACCTTTGTCCGCGCCCACAGAGATAAAAACAAATGCCCCCACCGTCTTGGAAAACTCGCCATCCACTCGCGCAGCTCAGGACAAGTTGGAAGCCCATTATGCACGGCGCCAAGGCGAGAGCCCCTTTTTGAAAACGACCCGCCCTCGATCCTTTTTTTTTTCCCTACCTAGGTTCTGCCTAGAAGGGTTCTTACCGTGTTGGCTTAAATGGCCGGGCAGTGTTCCACGCCCCGGGCGGTTCTCCCAGGATCCGCCCCGCGGTTCCCCCAGTGACGTTCCCTTAGCTTAGCGTTGCTTATCTCATCTTAGCTTAGCCTAGCTTAGCTTAGCTTAGCTTAGCCTAGCTTAGCTTAGCCCAGCCTAGCTTAGCTTAGCTTAGCTTAGCTTAGCTTAGCTTAGCTTGGATTGGCTTAGCCTAGCCTAGCTTAGCTTAGCTTAGCTTAACTCAGCTTAGCCTAGCTTAGCGCAGCGCAGCATTAGCATAGCATAGCATAGCATATCATAACGCAGCATAGCATAGCGCAGCATAGCATAGCGCAACATAGCACAGTATACCATATCATAGCATAGCATAGCGGAGCATAGCATAGCATATCATAACATAGCATATTTTAATTTAGCATAGCGCAGCGCAGCATGCCATAATATGTCATGCCATATCGCATCATAGCATAGCATAGCATAGCATAGCATAGCATAGCGTAGTATACAATACCATAGCATATCACAGCGCAGCATATCATACCTTAGCATATCATAGCATAGCATTGCATAACATAGCGCAGCATAGCATAACATAGCATGGCATTGCACAGCACAGCGCAGCGTAGCATAGCATAGCATAGCATAGCATAGCCGCTACTGCTACAACTGCGACGATGAGGAGAAGGAGGAGGACGGCGTTTACTGTTACTACTAATATTGCTCTCCTCGGGGCTCCAACTCCTAGGTAGGGTCGCTCTGGGATAATGGTTGTGCAAAACGACGGGGTGCGGCGTCAGCAAAGCGAGAGCCCCAATGTGAAAGCCGCTTGTGATTCACGCATCAATGCAATCTGAATTCGTCTGCTCCTTGAGGCCTGCTGCGGCGACGAGGACGATGAAGATGAGGATGTGGATGCTGTTGCTGCTGGTGGCGACGGCGAGCCTGGGAGCTCTTGGGGAGGAACTGCAGCGGTTGGGAGAGTCTGGGAGCGACTGGGGCAGCCCAGGGAGCGCATGGGGTCAAACTCGGAGTCGGCTAGGGGCGCCCGAAACGCATCGACCGATTATGTTTTTGCAATCGTTTTTTGTCGGCCTCCTGTGCCCAGGGGCTCTTCGGGGCCAGGGGGTGCATCGGCGTTGAGGATCAGCATATGCGAGCAGATTTTTTTATATAGGATGGTGAGGGTTGGGTCGGAAGGATGTGCACCGACTTACCCTTCTCGCATCGCATTGAAGGTTGGGTCCGGTGAGTGTGCGCCGAGCCGTGTTTTAAGATGATGAAAGTTGGGCCGTATTTGTGTACACCGAATGATCTATCCGTAAGGGCTTCGCCCCCTGCCGCCGGCCCCCTCTCTCGGATAATGGGCTATGCAAGAGCGAAATCATGAGGCTTCGGCGCCGCCGTGAAGCAGCACCGGCAAGAGAAATTGAGATTCTGATGATATTGTTGAACACAGTGTTGCACTTTGAACCTGCCCCCGTATGCTGTGCACGGAGGTTTCCCACATAATTTCGGACATGTGGCGAATCCAATGGGTTTTTGGACCCTGGCCCCGCCGATCTGCGTGAGGGGTGCCGCCGAATTTCAGCAATGTTGCAATTCCAATGGGTTTTTCGACCCTGACCCCGCCGATCTGCGTGAGGGGCGCTTCCGGATTTCAGACATGTGGCAAATCCAATAAGTGTTTCGATCCTGACCCCGCCGATCTGCGTGAGGAGTGCCGCCGGATTTTTATAAATGTTGCAAATTCCATAAGTTTTCGACCCTGACTCCGCCGATCACGGGGGTGCTGCCGAATTTGAGAAATGTGGCAAATCCAGCGGGTTTTTCGATTCTGACTCCGCCGATCTGCGTGGGGGGCGCCGCCGGATTTTAGAAATGTGGCGAATCTCATGTGTTTTTGGACCCTGACCCCGCCGATCTGCATGAGGAGTGCTGCCGAATTTAAGAAATGTGGCAAATCCAATTGGTTTTTCGGCCCTGACCCCGCCGATCTGCGTGAGGGGTGCAGCCGAATTTCCGAAGTGTGGAACATCCCATGTGTTTTTGGACCCTGACCCCGCCGATCTGCGTGAGGGGTGTTAATTTCGACCCCCCCAGAAATTTTGAGACCCTTCCTGGGAGGTGCTAACCAGGGCGGTTTTCGGCTCCCCCCCTCGCGCGGTCTATAACAAGGAACAGTAAGCAGCATAAAGCGATACTGCAACAGTGGAAACTAGAAACTGGAACTGGCGCAGGGAACAGCAAAACCTGGTCCTACAGCCTGGTGGCCCCACAACGGGGCCGGCGGATCTGGCATTGGATGGTAAGGGTTGGGTCAGATCGGTGTGGCCGAATAGTCAGCTTTGCATAGAAAGGTAAGGGTTAGGTCGTATGGATGCACGCTGATTGGCCGTTTTCTAGCATCGGACGGTGAGGGTTTGGTCGCAGGGGAATTGGGCAGATTTGTATGTTTTGCGTCGGGTGGTGAGGGTCGGGTCGAATGGATGTGCACCGAATGTTGTTCAGCATCGGATGGTGACGGTTGTGTCGCGTGGATGTGCACAGTGCTAAGGTGTGAGCTACATGTTGAAAACGAGCCAGCCTTAATCTTTGAAGCTGTTGCAGGCTTGTAAAACGAATATGCGTGGCGCTGAGGCGAGAGCCAGATTTTGTAAACGACCCGGCCTCCATCCTTGAAGCGGTTGCAGACTTTTAATGAGACGAATGTGCGCGGCACCAAGGCGAAAACCACATTTTGAAAACAATTCGGCGGGCTCCATTTTTGAAGCTGTTGCACATTTCAAGCATCATGCTCTTAATTGGCGATGAAATATCATGTGAAACGCCCAGCCCAACCTACGGACACGTCCAGTGGAACGACAGGGAGGAGTTATCTGCAAGGATAAGGAATGGAGGAGACGGAGGAGGAAGAGGAGGAGGTGGAGGAGGAGAGGGAGGAGCGTGGACAAAAACCGCAGCCAAGCCAAGCTGCCTCTTCTGCTGTCGTCGTGGGGGCTGGTGGGAGGAGTCCGCCGGCGAGTACCTGCCCTTGGCCTGCTCCCAGAGCTACCCGCCGCGCCCCGGCGGCGTCACCTGGGCTGACCAGTCGAGGCTGTGCGCGGAGGACTCTTCGGGGGGGGGGGTCGTCAGAGCAGCAAAAAGTGCTGATACGGCCGCCCGTCTCTCGCCGACGCCGCGGCTGGCTTCGCTTCGAAGGCCTGGTCAGAGCGCACCCGAGGAGAGGTCCTTGGAGTACTGGTGTCGGTATCTTCTGTGCCTCCCACAGGGGGGCGCAGCGATCAAGGGATTGAGCGCCACGTGCTCAGCCAGAGGGGACGGAAATCCTGAAGGAAAGGGGAGGCAGCCTTCTGTGGTGTGTCTGGTGCGATCCAGTTTGTAGGGCGCAGCACTATATATACACATATATATAGATATAAATAAATATTCAGATTGTCTGAGCGTGGTCAAACAATGCACCCAGCCGCCAGAGTTGCAACTAAGTTACTTCAGGCCGTACGCTGGCAGGATGAAGTTTTTTTCAGCAAGGAGCCAAATGGGTTGAGAGTGTCCAGAAGGTGAAAGCCCATCTGGACCCACATGAAGACGGCTTGGATTTCCACGAGCGGTGGCGTCGTCTCGGGAACTCTGCCGCCGACTCTGCTGCGCGCGCTGGAGCTGCCATGCATCCCTCTTGGTGTGAGGGGGAAGAGATGAAGCTCCAACGCCGCATCAAGGTCGCTAAACAGGTTTGTCGTTTAGCAGCAGAACTTCTCCCACTATGGCCCAAGCTCGACCTGTCCGAGGTCCAGCTTGTCCGCCCTCCTCGGCCCGAGCTGGCTCCTCTTGCCCCTGCTCTTCCTGGCCATGTGTGGGAGAAGCTGCGAGGTTTTCACCTTTGCCTGAACTGTAATCGTGTGAGCAGAGGACAGCAAGAGCCTTCCCCTGGGCAGTGTACTGAAGTACACGGCCTGACGGCCTCCTCGCTCAATACACTCCAGCACGTGTGCATCTCGCTAATGTGCAGTGACGGTGCGATGCTCACGGTGTGTTTGAAGTGCAAGAGTTATGCCAGCCATGGGCAGATTCGAGGCCTGGCCGTGGAATGTAGCAAGAGACCAACCCGCCACACCCTGGACAACTGGAGGTTGGTCTGCAAGGGCCGACACCCCAAGCGCCCAGGGGTCCTGGTGGAAACGCGGCCTTGGTCGCTTTTATAACTGTTCTCGAAGCCGTCCTGGTTAAACATTCCTCCCCCCTCTCCCTCCTGCTCTCCTCCTCCTCCTCCTCGTCGTCCTTCTCCTCCTTCCCGTCCTCCTCCTCCTCCTCTTGACTCCCTCTCTGCTTGCTGGCCGCGGGTCTGGTGCCCCCGCCAGCTCTCAGGGGGATACCCTGAGCGCAAGTCCGTCCGCCACAGAACGCTCTACAGCCACCGCCAGGCCGCGCAAGCCACGGCCCAGGAACCACGAGGGACGACGCGGACGACGGACGACACGACGACGGAGCAAGGGACACCCGCGGAGGGAGAAGGGCGAGAGAGGCCACGGAGCCAGGAGACACAGGAGAGCAGGGGGAGAGGGTCGACGACGGGGGGGAGGGCAGCGCAGAGAGCAGGAGGAGGAGGAGGAGGAGGAGGAGGAGGAGGAGGAGGAGGAGGAGGAGGAGGAGGAGGAGGAGGAGGAGGAGGAGGAGGAGGAGGAGAGGAGGAGGAGGAGGAGGAGGAGGAGGAGGATAGGAGGAGGAGGAGGAGGAGGAGGAGGAGGAGGAGGAGGAGGAGGAGGGAGGAGGAGGAGGAGGAGGAGGAGGAGGAGGAGGAGGGAGGAGGAGGAGGAGGAGGAGGAGGAGGAGGAGGAGGAGGAGGAGGAGGAGGAGGAGGAGGAGGAGGAGGAGGAGGAGGAGGAGGAGGAGGAGGAGGAGGAGGAGGAGGAGGAGGAGGAGAGGGGGCAGGCGCGAGACACGCGCAGCGGCCCGGGCGGGCTTGCAGGGGCAGGAGAGGAAGGCGGATGGGGGGAGGGGAATGGGGGGCGGAGGTGGTAGTGGGGATCGTGAGGGGCGTGGCAGCTTCAATAGAGGTGGTCGTAGGGTGGTGGTCGCACTGGTGGTGGTGTCGCTGGAAGGCGGCCGTGTTGGCTGCGATCGTGGTGGTCGCGTTGGCGGTCGGCCTTCTGGTGTAGCTGGAGGTCGCGGTAGTCGTGCTGATGGTCGGTCTGCTGGTGGACGAAGTGGTCGTGCTGGCGGGCGTGGAAATTACTGGTTAGTCGTGCTGCCAGAGGTCGTGCTGTTTGCAGTCGCGGCGGACTACTGCCCGAGGGCGCTGAGGACCATCTTGGCGTTGCCCGTCTGTAGGGTCACCGAGATCTCGCGCCAGAGGCGGCCCAGGAGCTCGCCCCGCTCGTCCTCCTCCAGGTCGGCGCCGTAGCTGCGCACGAAGGCCGCAGCTTCTTCGGAGGGCCTCCCCCCCGCCTCAAACACCATGGGGATGAGGTCGAGCCTTTGTCGCGGGGGGTACCGCGCCCTCTTGTTGTCGACCTCTTGGGCCGCCGCCAAGCCACACCTGTGGGACCAGGCCTGCCCGCGCGGGGCATACGTTGAATGTGTGCAGGTCACGGCCCAGTCCACAAAGATGTGGCGTCCAGTGTTTGGTCGACGGTGGCCACGTCGAGCTTGGCCTCCTCGAGGCTGCCATTGGGGAGGCGACGATCCCATCCTGGCACGTGTTGCTCAGTGGGGCAGCGTATCCGGTGAGCGCTGCGTGCCGCTTGAAGCCCGCTTGGAGTGCCAGTCCCGCAGTCGGCTGTGCGGTCGTTCCGAGACTCCCCCACTTCGCATTTTCTCGCGTGCCACCCGTTCTGGTCGAGGGGCTGGTTGCAGGGTTGCCCAGTGGTCTTCTTCTTGTGCTTGCACAAGGTCCCCTCTGGGCAGACGGGCATGTCCAGCCGCATCTTCAGATTCGTGAGGAAGTGCTTGTCTGGCTGCGCGGCGTCGCCGGCGTGTCGGGGCAGCAGGAAGGACCCCGCCCCAGTTCTTCCGGCCGAGCGCAGCGAGAGGCGGCCGTCCTCGTCCAGCAGCGTGTCCAGGAGTCGCTTCTTGCTAGCCTCCGAGGCGGCTTTCCCCCAGTGCCCCTGCTGCTTGCGCTGTGGCTCCCGCATGTCGTCGAGCAGGTTCAGTGGTTCTCCTCCGTGTGCGCTGGCGTCCCGGAGCGCCTGCTCTGTCTGGGCGAAGGCCTGGAGGGTGCGCGGGCAGCGGGCGCGAAGCTCCTCCAGGGTGTTGACCCCTAGGCAGGTGGCCACTTCGTGCAGGCAGAGGGCCCTCCCTCCCTCGCTCCCTCCCTCCCTCCGTCCCTCCTCCCTCCTCCCTCCTCCCTCGTCCCTCCTCCCTCCTCCCTCCGCCCTCCTCCCTCCTCCCTCCTCCCTCCTCCCTCCTTGCTCCCTCCCTCCCTCCTTCCTCCTCCCTCCTGCCTCCTCCCTCCTCCTTCTCCTCCATCCTCCTTCTTGCTGCGTGGCCCGGAGGCCATTGGGTCCTGGGCCTCGGTGCTGTCAGCGGTGGCAGGCGAGCGCGCGCGCGAGTTGGGCGCGCGCAGCACGTGCTGACGCGCGCCCGCGAGTACGGTCGGACCGAAGTATCAGATCGAGGTCGGTTCGGGGAGGGTGCCGTGATGTTCTTCGTGCTTGTTGGATGCTGTTGTGCATCCTGGGGGAGGGTGCCCTCGAACGTTCTGTGTGTTTTGGCTGGCGGAGGGCCTCATGTTCTTGAAGCATGGTCTTCTGTCCTAGGTCCGACTGTATCTTGTCGCTCGGAGGACGTGCTGTTCTCCGAGCCCTCGGGTGTGGCGCGGCTCTCCGCCGGGATCGGGCGCGACTGGCCGGACGCGAGGGGCTCCTACGTCGCAGAGGCCCGCGGTGGGTGCGCCGGCGGCCAGGCCGCCAGGATCGAGGTCCCACCACCTTTTCTTCCTCCTCCTCATTCTCCTCCTCCGTCTTCTCTCCTCCATCGTGATTCTCGTCCTCGTCCTCCTCGTCTTCCTTGTCCTCCTCCTCCTCCTGCCCTAGGGACGCTCGGCCTCCACTTCCTGCCCTTTTCTCCACATACCTTTCTAGAGCCATCGTGCTCCTCGTCATCCTCCTGCCCCCCCTTCCTACAAAAAACCACATTTCTCCTCGTCCGTCTCATCCTCCTATTCGTCGTCGTCGTCATCGTCCTCCCCTGCCCTCCTCTCCCTTTCGTTCTTCTATAGCCTTCGTGCCCCTCGTCAACCTCTTCCTACGCTCCTCCTTCTCCATCTCCCCTCCTTTACCCATCGGGCTCCTCGTCATCCTTCTCCTTCCTCTCGCGTCCTTCTTCATATCCTCATCTCCTTATGCTCCTCGGCCTTGTCCTCGTCCTCGTCCTTTTCCTTCTGCTTCTCATCCAGCTAGCTGCTGCTGCTGCTGCTGCTGCTGGTCCTCCTCCTGTCTTCTCCCATGTCCCACATGGCATGCGCACAATCGTTTTTTAGCGTTGCGTGGCGGGGCCGTGCCTACTACAGGACATCTCGACGTTTGTTCAGGAGTATGACACAATCAACTAAGACAAACATAATACAACAACACATAAGTCATAAAACAATATGACACATACGGAAAAATGTATACGAAGGCAGTCTGACTCACTAGCTTCGCTCATTCAGAACGCTCGAGTGCTTGTTGTGCCGTGCGCCCGCTGGTCTTGCGAGGCAGGTGGGGAGGAGCCTGATGATGCTGATGATGGTACTGCTGATGATGGTGATGCTGGTGATGACGGTAATGGTTCTGCTGATGATGCTGCTGCTGATGACGATGACGATGGCGATGATGGTGACGGTGATGATTACGATGGTGCTGCTGATGATGCTGCTGCTGATGACGATGATGATGATGATGGGATGATGATGATGATGATGATGATGATGATGATGATGATGATGATGATGATGATGATGATGATGATGCTGCTGATGATGATGATGATGATGTTGATGATTTTGATGCTGATGCTGATGCTGATGCTGATGATACTGATGCTGTTGATGCTGCCGATGACGAGGATGATGATACTGATGATGATGATGATGATGATGATGATGTTGATGTTGTTGATGATGATGATGATTCTGATGATGCTGATGATGCTGATGATGATGTTGATGATTATGATGATGCTGCTGATGATGATGATGCTGATGATGCTGATGATGATGATGCTGATGCTGATGCTGATGCTGATGATGCTGATGATGATGACGATGCTGATGATGATGATGATGATGATGATGACGACGACGACGACGACGATGATGATGATGATGATGATGATGATGATGATGATGATGATGATGATGATGATGATGATGATGATGATGATGATGATGATGATGATGATGATGATGATGATGATGATGATGCTGATGTGATGATGATGATGCTGATGATGAGATGATGATGATGATGATGATGATGATGAAGGCCTGACGGCCGGTGCCGCCGACCCTCAAAGACATCGACGCCGACTAGGAGGAGGAGGAGGAGGAGAGGAGGAGGAGGAGGAGGAGGAGGAGGAGGAGGAGGAGGAGGAGGAGGAGGAGGAGGAGGAGGAGGAGGAGGACGAGGAGGAGGAGGAGGAGGAGGAGGAGGAGGAGGAGGAGGAGGAGGAGGAGGATGGGGAGGAGGAGGCGGAGATAAGGAGGAGGAGGAGGAGGAGGCGGAGGAGGAGGAGGGAGGAGGAGGAGGAGGAGGAGGAGGAGGAGGAGGAGGAGGAGGAGGAGGAGGACAAGGAGGAGGACAAGGATTCCCCCCTGGGTACCCCCCCTGGGGAGGAGGACAGGAGGAGGACTGGCGTGGGAGAGGGGAGGGGGGGGGGGAAGGAGGACCCCCAAGGACGGATGCGTATTTGAACTCCCTTTCCCCCCCCCTGGGACTCCTCCCCACCTGGAGAGGAGGACCCGAGGAGGACCGGCGCCGGAGAAGGACTGGCGTAGGAGAGGAGGACCCCCAGAGGCGATGCGAATCTGACCTCCCCCCCCCCGGGACCAGGACGTGGATGGAATTCCCACAAGCTGCGAACCCGGTCCCCGAACGAGGAAGGGTGCTCTCTCTCTCTCTCTCTCTCTCTCTCTCTCTCTCTCTCTCTCCCCCCGACGGGAGAGGAGGTTGGGAAGAAGGGGGCGAAAGAAGGCTCCCCGTCGACGGGACCAGACAGACACCCCCCACACGCCGACAGGGTCGGCGGATTATGATGATGATGCTGACGATGATGATCATGATGATGATGATGATGATCATGCTCATGATGATGATGATGATGATGATGATGATGATGATGATCATGCTCATGATGATGATGGTGATGCTGCTGATGATGATGATGATGAGGTTGATGATAGTGATGGCGACGACAAGGACGATATTGATGCTGCCGAAGATGATGCTGATGATGGTGGTAGCGACGACGACGATAGTGATGAGGATGAGGATGAGGATGAGGATGAGGAGGATGAGGAGGAGGAGGAGGAAGGATGGGAACGGGAGGAAACGAAGGAGGATGGAGATGAGGAGATGGAGGGAAATGTCGGGGAGGAACAGGGGGAGGGAGAGGAGGAGAGGGAATAAACGAATGAGGATCAGATGGCGTGACTTGCGCTGGCTATAGGCTACGCCTGGAGCTCTGCAGTAACTGCGGCTGTGTCGAGAAACATCCCAGCAGCACGAGGCTTGGTGCTTCTGCTCAGAAGGGAGAACAACTCACACAAGGAGAAAGGGGTCCCCTGTCTTCACGGATGCAGATGCGGCGAATCGTCTCGATAGGAATCGTGTCCTCATTGTGACGTCGAACCCTTGGCTGGGCGATGGTGAGGGTCCAGCGGGCCCATTCCAGTCCTGCGTGCACCAGGGCCGAGCGAGGGCGGGGCTAGCGCGCGCGCCTGGGTGTCGCCTCGAAGATTCGCGGCCTTCTGCGCGACGCGGTCGCGAAAGTCTGCGGCGTGTATCTCCTCCGTGCTAAATTCGGACGGTTCTCATGCGAGAATCGCGGCGCGGCACGCTTTGGACGAGAATTGTGGGTCGGGAGTGGTATTCTACGCTGTAGGCTGGGCATACTGTGCGCAGTCATCCTCCTGCCGTGCTTGCGCCCTGATGCACGGCGAATCCTTGCTAACCCTTGCGCTGCTCGTCACAGGCAGGACCGGTGAGGAGAGGCTTGTCAGAGGCAGCCTGGAGGGGGAGGAGTCTGCGTCCCACGCAGCCAGCCTGCGCTTGGCCAGTAGGTCGGGCTGGTCAGGGACCCACCACTTTCATCACGCGGCCTGGCTTCGGAGGCTCGATTTAAGTTCGGCGACTGGCACTTGCACGCATCCCCACAACCTGCGGAAAGTTGCGTCGAGGCTGCCGCAGAAGGAGCAGAGGCCGTCCACCAGGTAGCCTAAGCTGATGGCGCGGTCTCCCGTGGACAGTGTTTCCGCGGCAAACGCTCTGATGTGAGCCTTCTGAAGGGCAGTGTGTTTCTTGGAGGCCAGAGCCTCGCGCGGCACGTCGTAGCGCAGCCGAGGGATGACCCCCTTCATCTCACCCGAAGGTCGTTCCAATATTCTGGAATAGCCGTCTTTGACCAGGATTTTGATCAGGGCGGGCGAGAAGATACCACGAGGAATCGTAAAACCGCGGTCATCTCGCACCGTTATGAAGTTATCCATGCACCGGCCCAGGCGAACCAGGGACATCCTGAGAGCGGACACAGGGCCCGCGACAGTCCTCCAGGAGCAGGCAGGGTCGGAAAACACAACTTCCCACGCTCGACGCAAGGCGGGAAGAGAAATGCCCCGCTCGTGCGCACCCGACTGTCTGAGTCAGATCTCCGTCGACCATCTCACAATCGGGGCGGTGGCGGTGCGCTTGCGCGGATCAAATTCAAGCAATGCGGCAGTGGTCAAAGAGCGAAGCTGAGAGCGAGGCCTGACAACCGAAAAACCTTGCCTACGCAGGCGCAACAGTTCCAAATCACTAGTGCCGGTGGTTTCAGTGCCGTGCGAGGCCCCCGCCAGGGGGCCCGCCGAGAAAACCCGAAGGACCTGGGGCCGAGACGAAATATTGTTTGGCCTTCTGAGGCGATTGGCAGCACGAGAGGCTTTCGCAACCCGCATGTTGGACTTAACCGAGCGGCCTTGGGCCCTGAGCGCACGACCAGCCGTGCAGTCAACACCTAGGTTAACAGCGCTCGAGGTAAAAATGCCTCCAAGGTGGGACAGCTCAAAAGGCACTTCATCTCCTATCGCCATCGAGGAAGCCACGGCGGCCGTCCTGTCCAAAGCGAGGGCGCAACCGACTGCGACTCAACCACGCTGTGGAGCGCCTTGGCCCCTTCGACGACCGATCTGATGACGACCCGAGAGGGGCCCGTGCGTGACAGACCTTGATCGTCGATGTGCGCATCGAGGTCCAGGCTGGGTTGAGTTGGCTTGGAAACGTGCCCGTCCTGACAGAGCGTTCTGATGAATGACGTGGCCATCGAACGGCCGGCGACGACGCCTCGAAGGCAACAGTGGGGGCCTTCCATCCATCCTCCTAAACGCAGGAAGCGGCCACATCTGTGCGCGAGCGTGCAGGGCCTGACGATGAACAGAGGGAACCCATGCATCTCACACCTGTGTCTGAGCTCTTTGAGACAAGTGTTCTCGCAAGACTTGCGAAGGTCACAGGGCGCGCTGCATGGTAATTCACCTTTTGCCAGCCCAGCCTCTGCAGTGGCGGCCTGTCTCCAGACCGCGTCAGCCGCTCCGCGAAACCAGCCAGCGGCCCTGTGCCTTCTGGGGCGTTGCTGTTCCCAGTTCAAGGCGAGGGGCCGCCGACGGCGGCCCCGAGCTTTGAACCGGGAACAGAACGCCCC